TCTCTCTCTCTCTCTCTCTCTCTCTCTCTCTCTCTCTCTCTCTCTCTCTCTCTCTCTCTCTCTCTCTCTCTCTCTCTCTCTCTCTCTCTCTCTCTCTCTCTCTCTCTCTCTCTCTCTCTCTCTCTCTCTCTCTCTCTCTCTCTCTCTCTCTCTCTCTCTCTCTCTCTATACCATCATTCAGAAACAGTACTCAACTTTAAAGACACTCTTTAAAGACTTTTCCATCTCAGGACCAAGCTGAGAAAGAGAAAGCAATAAAGAAAGAAAGATAAGAAAGAAGAAAAAGAAAAATAAAGTTTCTTTTCCAGCCTTCTTCAATAAATTTTGCCTTTTCTTTGTCTCCTCTTAATTCATCAGTTTTGGTTTCGGAGTTTTTGTTAGATTCAGTTCTTCACGACATCTGCATATGTCTTTGACAATGGCTGATGATGGTGCAGAAGCAGCAGCTGGAGGAAGAAGTAAAAGACAAAACAGCTTATTGAGAAAAAAACTTGCTTTAGCTGTAAGAAGTGTTCAATGGAACTACGCAATCTTCTGGTCCTCTTCACTTACTCAACCTGGGTAAGTATATAATCTAATACTCATGTAAGATCTTGTTGATTTCGTATTTGCATTGCCCTTTTCCTTCTTTTTAAATATCTCGATACACATATATATATATATATATGATGAGTACTGTATTCTAAATTTAGGGTTTTGGAGTGGGGAGAAGGATGTTACAATGGAGATATGAAGAAGAGGAAGAAGAGTTACGAATCTCATTATAAATATGGGCTGCAGAGAAGCAAGCAGCTTCGGAAACTTTATTTGTCTATGCTTGAAGGAGACAATGGTACTACAGTTAGTACTACTCATGATGAGCATAATGATGATGAAGAGCATAATTGTGACAGGACAAGTATGATGCTGTCACCAGATGATCTCTCTGATGAAGAGTGGTACTATTTAGTCTCCATGTCCTATGTCTTCTCTCCTTCTGATCAATGGTTTGTTCTCTTTCTCTCTCTATCTCTTCTCCCCCTAGCTCCCCCTATACCTATGAATCAGCTAGTACATTTAAATATATATGGCTCTTTTGAACTATTCATATAGAAACTTGTGCAGTAAAGATGGAATGAGGAGTGTCCGGTCCTTCATTTTTAGATGAAACATTACTTTGGATAAAGAGGTTTAAAGTTCTGTCTCGAAACGAATTGGTAAATAGTGGAAATGATGCTACACTAGATTATTAACCTTTCCGATTCCTTACCATTACACTTTAATTAGCCTTTTTGCGTTTTAAGTAATTATATTTGTCAAATTTGTTTTTATTTCTTCTCTAGCTGAGCTAGGGTCATATAAATTAATGTCCATGAATTTTTTTTGGTTGTCCATGTGCGCTTAATTAGTTTGCCTGGAAGAGCTTCGGCGACGGGTGAGACCATATGGCTTTGCAACGCTCAATACGCTGAGAACAAACTATTCTCTCGTTCTTTGTTAGCAAGAGTAAGTTCGTAGAACCTTCTATTTACTCTTCTTGGATTCTTGATATCTTCTCAATATCTAATCTGACTATATCTCTTTTGATCTACTTTGCTCTTCATTACTGTTCATATGGCTTATCCTCATTAGAGCGCATCGATTCAGGTACGTTGCATATATAATGTTCTCTTTAACTGATTTACGGTTGCTAGAATTGAAAGTTTTGTTTTTTTTGGAATTGAAAGTTTAGTGGTCTTATTGTTAGATTAGAAAACGTCACTATACATCAACCTAAAATAATTTAAAAATGTATCTGTGTTCTTATGTCTTTCTTTGTCTTCTCCAGACTGTTGTGTGTTTCCCTTACTTGGGCGGTGTGATTGAGCTGGGCGTCACTGAATTGGTAACTCTTCATCTTAACCTATAAAAGTTGGTTTTACATTAATTGGTTTCTTGCTTTACAAGAAATTCATATCCTTTATTGTGCATTGTCTTTTTTTGGACAATGAAAGATTTCAGAAGATTACAGTCTGCTTCAACACATCAAAACTTGCTTATTGGAAATACCTGTCCACCACAACAAGGATGATGAGAAGAAAATGGGGATTATGACCAGTGAAGGACACTTGATGCTTGAAGAGAAGCATCAGATTCCATTAGGTATATCTGATGAAGACTTGCATTACAAAAGAACCATTTCAACAGTACTCAACTACTCGGTGGATATATCAAGTAGGAACGATAAGACGATTCATCACCCTCAACCAAATCTTGTTTCTTCTGATTCTGGCTCAAGTTTCTTGCCGTGGAAGAAATGTGAGCAGCCAAACTCAGGTTTTGGTGAGAACCAAAGTGATTTGCAGCCACAGTCACAGAATGTGTTGCGGAAGATGTTGTACAATGTCCCTTTGATGCACGCAAAGAGAATGTTACCAAGTGAGAGATCTGCTCTGAATCAAGATGATCCTTCAGACAGAAGAAAAGAGAACGAAAAGTTCAGTGTCCTTAGAACTATGGTTCCCACTGTCAACGAGGTACTAAATCTGTTTCTAAATCCTTAAAAGGCTTGCTCTATTTCAGAAACCAAGACTCTGTTTGGAATATTTGTGCAGGTTGATAAAGAATCGATACTGAAGAACACAATCAAGTACCTGCAAGAACTGGAGGCAAGAGTAGAAGAACTAGAATCTTGTATGGGATCAGTTAATTTCGTAGAAAGACAAAGAAAGACAACAAAGAACCTTAACGACTCTGTGTTGATCGAAGAGACATCAGGGAACTACGATGACAGCACGAAGATCGATGAGAATTCAGGAGAAACCGAACAAGTCACTGTGTTCAGAGATAAGACACATTTGAGAGTTAAACTCAAAGAAACAGAAGTTGTGATCGAAGTAAGATGTTCTTACAGAGACTACATAGTTGCAGATATCATGGAAACTCTGAGCAATCTTCACATGGATGCTTTCTCTGTTAGATCTCATACACTCAATAAGTTCCTCACGTTGAATCTCAAGGCCAAGGTAAATTAATTCTGAACAAAGACCATTGTTGAATTTTCTTGAATCGCACGTAACGTTTTTGGGTATATGCAGTTCCGTGGGGCTGCAGTTGCATCGGTAGGAATGATCAAGCGAGAGCTGAGAAGAGTCATTGGTGATTTGTTTTAATGTTCATTCTCAGTAAAGAATCTTATTATCTTAAACTTTTGATGAAATGTTATATCTCTTTAGACTGTTTTTTTGAACCTATATGCGATGTGCCATTAACTTTACATCAAGTTTTCCTGGTTTTTGTATGTAAAGTTGGCCAAGGTTTGGTTGGATTTTTCGACAATGTTTGTCTCTTCATCTTCTAAAAAAAATATCTATACTTATTATAGTTCTTGAGTGGGTGACTTGACCAGGTGAATTCATATCGATTGTCAGGATTAATTTATTACAAAAGAAATCAAAGATAGAAGCCTTTAGGTCGAACAACAATAACACTTTGGCTATTGGTTTATTCATACAGATAGCAAAAAAAAAAAAACCAATTGGCTTTGGCTCATGTTTCTTCCCCAGGATGACTCTCCTTAAGAGGAGGTGCTTCCTAAAGATGGGATCATATATATATCCATTACTTATTATTTGAGTGAACCCTATTGGGTTAAGGGATTATGATACCATCTTCATGATTGGGAAGATTCATGATCTTTTCCTTCATCAAAGCCAATTGGTTACTAATGCTATAACTCCTCCTTAATATATACTATCTTATTTCTTCAAGTTTTTCCGATGTGGGATTTCTTAAGGTTATTATAATTCAGTTTTTCTGCCGACATTATCACCATAAGGTTTACCTTAAACCTCAAGTAATTGGATTGGTCCTCTCTAGACCTTTTATTCAATGTTTACTGTTTCGTGTGTGGGCTTTTGGGCCTTAAGCCCTAAACTTTGTGTCCTTTCTACGCAAACTTACTTCTCCGTTTCCCCACTTTCTTATTTTTCTCACCTTGTTTGAACGAATTATCGAATGATATTGGATAAACTCAACCCGAATGAAATTTACTATCCCGAGCGAGAATGTAACTTATTAAAAAGGTATTTTACCAAAAACTGTCTTTACTTGAATGCATTATTTATGGTCTTCTCTTTTGTAACTCATATATACAAAAAGAAGTAGTAAATATTATATCCATGGTGCATTATAAAACTTCATGGTTTCACTTGCATTCTCTCCCATTGATGTTGCTAGCGACTTCAATTTGATTCCACGGAGGCTTTTGAGTATTTGATTTTGTTTAAATATCTAATATGAAGAGAGGAATATTGGAAGTATTTCTCGTTGATGCTCATGGGATTACACACACAAATTTTATTGGTGATTATAAGAAAACGAAATACTGTCTTCATATGTTTAATTTTACATTATACTCAAAACTAAAATATTTTGTTTTGATCATTTTGGTTGCAGGAAGCCCTGTGTATTATGTGCTCTTACAATGTGGGACAAAGGAATACCGTAGCAAATTGTCTAAAGGTTTACGTTTTTTCACTGCGGTAATTTTGTTTATCTTCTGAGCCAAGTTATATATATATTGGACAAACATTTTTGGTTCTTCTGTGAAAATAGGTGACAATGACAATGCATTGTGGAACCAAAAGTTTGTCTTTGATTTCCCGATGTCTCAATGGAAGAAGCTTACCCATATCAAATTTAGAATCATGGACAAAGAGCTCTTCAAAGATGGAGGATTTGTCGGTGAAACCTTGTAAGTTTTGCTTGCAAAAAAATGAATATTGAGTGATTTTGCAATATAGCAATTAAATACCAGAGATATATAAATACCATACATGTGGTGGTGTCTCTTTTTTTGGTACAGAATTCATCTTGGAGGGATAGTAACCGAAGGACGTGACAGAGGATACATGGAAACTAAACCAGCTCCATACAATGTTGTTCTTGACGACAATACTTTTAAAGGCCAACTAAAAATCGGATTGAGATTCATTGCAACTGTAAGTTACTATCCTAGATTTGAATTGTACATTCCAGGAGAATCTTTGCGGTTTATTTATTCATCTTAGGTACAAATATTGAAATATCATCAAGAACAACGATCATAACAAAATTTCTCAATGACAATGTTTACTATTCTCTTAGGATAAACTGAAGAGGAAAGCATGGGAGCTGAAGATGGAGGCCAAAAACAGTGAAGAACCAATGATTTCCCCATATATGAATCTGATGAAACTCCCTTTGTTAAGGTTTCTGCTCTATTGTTTTCGGAAAACAAACAAATATCAACTCAAAGACAACTAGCAATGCTAAAAGGGTTAGCATCAAAACTCTTTTTTTTTTTTCGCTGTTTAATAATTTTCTTTACTTCAGATTTATGGCTGCGTAGCCCAATTCAGGTTCTATCTATCAAGTAGTAGTAGTATACTATAGCGATAACATTTATTTGATTTTCCGAGTTTGTGCAAGCATGTTAGGTTCATAGCTGCATGGGCAAGAAGGACAGGTCTCGTCAAGTCAATTAATGCAAAACTACTTTAATCGTTTCGTCGACTATATATAAAAACAATGTTCTTTTGACTTTCTTATTATTCGTAGCTAGGGTTTCCCAATCAGCCCTTTCACGGTATCGTGATGGGCAAGAATACGAAACTGTTGATGACTTTAATCTTTTTCACCTTCAATATTTAATGTAATTGAATTAATGGTCTACATTTATATCTTTTGATGTAACATTTTTTCTTACTTTCATTCAATTTCCCAACCAATATAATTAATAATATGTATGCAGTTGCTATAATGTTTTTTTTTGTAGTAAGTTAGATATACACTCCATTGGAAAATCTCAAGTTCTCAACACATAAATAAATGAATATGTTAAAAGTAGTTAAATATTGTCTAATACCATAGTCTGTATATATAATACATTAAAAATAATGACCCATAGATTTAATTATATGCTACAAAAAATGCGTTGTACGAGAAAATGGGACGCACGTCTGTTCCACGCACGAACCGAACCATGCAATATACATATTTGTCTTCTCCATCTCCATTACATTATGTTATCATGTGCTAAACTATTAAGTTTATAATTCAAACTGAAATTAAAATATATTAAACTAAATACTTATATATATATATATATATAATAAACAAATCACCTAATTAATCATGAATTGCAGTTAATCGTGTAGGATACATGGGGATAAGCTAAACTCCAGCCATGTGATCATTGGTCTAATATAATAAACGATTGACAAATAAATTTTTTAAACAGAAATCCTAGTGGAGGTGTTACTACGATAGACCGACCAAAGATTATTATTACTTCTTCAAAATATAAAGGTCGTATACGTTGAACATTCACTCGTATCCCATCGTAGCTGCGATCAAGATCTTTCATATATAGTATAATTATATGTTTGGAGTTCAACAGATTAGTTAATAGAAACGAATTTCAGTAATTCTAATTAGAACATCCTGGATTTTAATTTCCAACAAATAATGCTAAAAATTTACATGAGATCGATGTCTTGTAAATTCTTCTTAAAGTGAAAAGATGTGATATAATTATGTTTTTTTTGAAAAGGAAAATCATTAATGATTCAACGTTATGTAGTTTCCAGTGGGAGGCTAATAACTAATTTAATTTTTGTGTGTGTGTGTGTGTGTGGAAGGATCCATTAATCAAAGATTTTATATTTTGTCAGATTGAAAACTATAGAGTCCATATTATTATTATTTTAGCCAACAAGAAAAGGATAAAAGTGTATAGTTATTTATAGCACTAAAGAAAAATATAGCTCTTAAAAGGGAAGAGGGTATTTGCATTTTTATTTTATTTTTTGGTTGTCTCATAGAAGCAAAAACACTTGTTGTTGTTGTTGTTGTTGTTGATTTGAAGCAGAGGAAAAGCCACTCCATCGTCTGTCAGGATCGGACGGTCCACATTTTTCCGGTCGTCGCCGGCTTAAAAGAGGGTTTTGGATTCAAGTTCCAACAGGAGGGAACTTGTTTTTTTTTATTTTGACGTTTCAAAATTTGGTTTGCTTTGCTTTAAAAACGTAAGGTTCAAATTCAAGAAGAAGCTTTTAAAGGTATCATCAATTATCAAATAAAGACCGTTGCTTTGATTTTCTTACTTTAACGTTCTTTTCAAAATTTAAAGTTTCAGACTTTTGCTCTCAGTTGTGTTTTATGATCCTTATCTCTCTGTTGAAACTTATATTTTTGAATTGTCTGTTTGTTCTGCAAAAACATTCCGGTGAAGTTTTCAATAAAATTTGAGAATTTTTAAACTCTCATTTGATCTGATCTTTATCGTTCTTCTTTTTGCTGCTTTATCTTTGCTTTAATCTTTGTTCTTGCTTTATTGTTCCCTGGTCCTTAGTAATTTCACTATCCAAACCCCAAAACTAAACCTTCCGCTTTCAAATATCTAAATTTTTCTTGGTAATATATCTCAACGAAAGCTTTAAGCTATTGTCACATTTTCGTTTTAAATCTTCAGAGGAAACAGATCAAGAACATTAAGATCGAGAGAGACCTTTGAGGAGTTTTGAGCTTAAAGATGGAGAATTTATCAAATCCAGATGAAAATGATGATGTGGGCTATCATCAGTCACCTAGATCCATTGACCCTAACGATCAATCCACATCTGAAACACCGGTGTACTCGACAATGAGCATAGATTCCTTTGTTTATCCTCGAACTTGTTCAGACAGCACTTCAGGCTTTTCAGACCAGATAGATGAAACCAACAGCTTCTGTAGTGAAGTTTCTCCATGTAATTGGCCTGTCCTCACTGAATCTAAGACTGATGACAGCTCCAAATGCCTCTCTGGTTTAGAGATGCAATCAAATGAAAATCTTGTAGTCCAAGAAATTACAGAACCAGGTGCTGTGTTCTCTCTCTCTCTCTCTCTCTCTCTCTGCTCTCTGATTTTTCAAAAGTCTTTTGAAATTATAATGAGATTTGGGGTTTTTGCAGAACTTGAGACAATGAAGGAAAGATTTGCGAAGCTTCTACTTGGAGAAGATATGTCAGGGAGTGGAAAAGGAGTTTGCACTGCAGTGACGATCTCAAACGCAATTACCAATCTTTATGGTAAAGACATTATTAAGCAAATCATTCACACAGCCTATGTTCTTGTTTCTGATTACTGTTCATCTGATGCATGTATTTTTTGAACTTTGATGTTTGCAGCTACAGTGTTTGGACAGAACCTGAGGTTAGAGCCGTTAGAAACAGAGAAGAGAGCATTGTGGAAGAGAGAAATGAATTGCCTTTTATCGGTATGCGATTACATAGTCGAGTTCATCCCTAGATGTCAGAATCTAAGCAATGGAGCTACTGTTGAGGTACATAACTCGTCAAATATTTTGTCTGAAAACGGGAAAAAAGGAGAGAGAGGAAAAAATGAATACGTTCTTGGCGGGTTTTACAGGTGATGGAGAGTAGACCAAGAGCAGATATCTATATCAACTTACCTGCTTTGAGAAAGCTAGATTCAATGCTTATGGTAAATATAAAAAAAAACGTATAGATATTCAAATGATTATTTGGTTTGGTTACATAACATGTTTTTTTTTTTGTTATCTTTGTAATTTGTTACAGGAAGCATTGGACAGTTTCCAGAACACAGAGTTTTGGTATGCAGAAGAAGGGAGTTTATCGATGAAATCTGCGCGTTCTGCGACTGGATCATTCAGGAAAGTTATAGTACAAAGGAAAGAAGAGAAATGGTGGTTGCCGGTTCCTCTAGTGCCATCTGAAGGTTTGTCAGATAAGGCCAGAAAACAACTCAAAAACAAGAGAGAGAGTACCAATCAGATTCACAAAGCGGCAATGGCTATCAACAGTAGCATTCTCAGTGAAATGGAGATTCCAGAGTCTTACATGACAACTCTTCCAAAGGTTTGTTTGTTATACCTTTCATAACTGCTAGAATCTTAATGATTCGGTTTTGAGTCTAACTTAGGATCTTAAATCTCTGCAGTGTGGTAAAAGCAGTGTTGGAGATTCAATCTACCGTTACATGAGTAGTTCGGGTCGGTTTTTCCCAGAACAACTTTTAGACTGTCTGAACATAGCCTCTGAGCATGAAGCTGTTCAGTTAGCAGATAGAGTAGAAGCTTCCATGTATACATGGAGACGCAAAGCATGTCTTAGTAACTCTAAGAACTCATGGAACATGGTGAAAGATCTTATGTCAAATACAGAGAGAACAGACAAGAACTACGTTATGGCTGAGAGAGCAGAGACTCTGCTCTTCTGTTTGAAACAGCGTTATCCAGAGTTGTCTCAGACATCATTAGATATATGCAAGATTCAATACAATAAGGTAAACCGAAGAATGAAAAGTCATTGAGAATATTATGATTGTACATTATCGTTGTTTGAGATTATTAAAAGTAATGTGTTTTTGGTGTTGCAGGATGTTGGAAAAGCTGTGCTGGAGAGCTATTCAAGAGTTCTTGAAGGTTTAGCATTTAACATCGTTGCTTGGATAGATGATGTTCTCTATGTAGACAAAACCATGATGGGAAGTGAATAATAATAAATAAGCCGCTTTGCTAGACTTTTGAGGAGGCTTCTATGTTCTCTTGTAAAGGAAAACAATGTTAAAAAAAACATATTTGTATTATAGTAATCAGCAAAGTTTCCCCATTCCATTAATAAGGCCACAGAAAGAGCAAAAAGAGAGCGACCAAGTGTTCTTTATCAAATATAAAATTCAGGGGAATAATAGTTTTTTTAGTGGATAAATAATGGAACAAGGAACTTGAGACAATTAATTTCGAATCCCTATATATACAACAGGGGTTCCGAACCAGCATGGGTCCGGGGGATGTGAAGTGGTGTGACCAAAAAGCAAAAGGGTTAGTAATTAAAATACATAGATCTGAAGAAGTCACACAGACTCGTAGAGATGTCTCATTACGACTTCCTTCTTCATGAGCCCTCAATAAATGATAGTACAGTCTAAGGCACCGAAGATCCAAGCTTTTTGCTCCTTGCTTCTCACTTTTCTAGAGCTCTCTTGATCATCAAAAACTATGAAACAATAGAATAATTCAGCTGTCGTCGTCTACTGAACCAACGTAAGTCAGATCAGTCCGTCTGACCCTCACTGCACCTTTCAGCCAACAGGTGGCTCTCAGATTCGCCATGTCGCTGCTGTTTGAAGCGTTGCTGCTTGATAGACCTGAACTTGTCCCATCTTCGAGAAGCGTCCATGGGTCAACCATATCTGCGTTGTCTGCTTCTTGTTGCTGAGGTGGTGACAACATTGTCTGCTTCAGCTTCCCTTGCGCTGCTGCAGTTCCAGTTTTCGGTAAGACAGGGGAGTTTCTTTGAATGGGTCCACCAGCAGCAGATCCAGAGGGTTGAACAAGTGTGAGTGCTGTTGGCGGAACAGAATGAGGCTGGCAAGAGAGAGAACAGCGTAAAGAAGGAAAGAGGATGGGCATCGCTGCTTGTATCCGCCATCTAATGGTGTCTGGTAACTGCATCCGTGAAAGCTCATTCTGCATTA